ACTTACTTTGACAATAATAATACAATACAATAATACAAGAATTTACATAGCGCCATTTCGGTGAGCCCAATGGCACTTTACAGCAATCATAATTCTAAAAATAAAAAACATTTGAGTTATTAAAGAAAATATATGACCCTTGTAGAAATTAATTTCTAAAAGATAAGATACATTCGACTTGCTAAGTTAACTAAGGAAAATATGTACAATAAAAAGAAAAAAGGGTAGTCAACTAACTAATAAAAGCCTCTCTAAAAAGTAGTGTTTTAATCTTATTCTTAAAAACATCAAGGTTCTGGATTGATCTTATGTCATCGGTTAGGGAGTTCCAGACCCTGGGCGCAGCAACTTGAAAAGATCTGTCACCGTAACACTTGAGATTAGACTTTGGTGTTACAAGCAGATTTTTTCAAGAAGATCGTAATTGCCTCGTCAGAGTATAGAGTGTTTTCACATGACGTCACGGCGGCCATATTGGTGTCCCAAAACAATGAAACGGCGGCCATGTTGGTGTCCCAAAACAATGAAACGGCGGCCATGTTGGTGTCCCAAACCAATGAAACGGCGGCCATGTTGGTGTCCCAAAACAATGAAACGGCGGCCATATTGGTGTCCCAAAACAATGAAACGGCGGCCATATTGGTGTCCCAAAACAATGAAACGGCGGCCATATTGGTGTCCCAAAACAATGAAACGGCGGCCATGTTGGTGTCCCAAACCAATCCTCTGGGAGTTGAACTCTTTTCTTATGTAAACGCTTTCTTTTGTTCCAATAAATTTGCATATATGCTGGCCACGTGAGTGAAAACACTCTATAGGGCTGAAGGAGATCTGCTATATATTTTGGCGCTATGCCATTCAGTGCTTTGTTCGTAAGAAGTAGTATTTTGTACGTAATTCGTTGTCTGACTGGTGGCCAGTGTAGTCTACGAAGAACTGGTGTTATATGCTCTGAGCTTCGAGTTCTAGTCACCAGTCGAGCTGCGCAGTTTTCTACACTAACTTTTGTGAATATGGTAGGTATTTTTTCGTTAGCCATTACCTTTGGCCTTTCCGAATTAGGAATTGGAAATCCTTTTATGATTGGCTGAAAATAGTGGTTTGAAATAGTGTTGACAGGCTAAACAAGACTTAAACTTGTTCCCAGGTTCTCTCCTAGTTGAACGAGACTGAAAATTGGTCGAGATAGTGTGAAACGTGCGTGGCCTTCGAATTAGCCTTTCTTCACAAAGTTAAGACTTTACCATAGAAGCATCTGACAAGGAACGCTTTAATACCGAAACTGCAGTCTTGCTTTAAACACTTATAGCAAAAATGTACTACCCGTAGTACAGTCACATGCCAAAACAAAGGTAATCCCAACAGAGAAACTAAAGGACATCGCGCTCCAATTCAAAGACTCATTTCTCTCAAGAAAAAACAAAATGTACCGCATCAGCGCCTTAAGAATGATCTTGACTCGTTGTGGAGTCAGGTGAAGAGACGGATGACATTTCAGACTACTCTGAAGTACTGTTCTTGTTCTTTTCTCGAATCTGGTAATTACTGTGAAAGGTTTGAACCCAGGAGTCATTTCAAAAGTAGGTTGAGTTTGATCGTCCGGGTGAACGTAGTCCTGAACAGGACTGTTGTTGTTGACAGTGACTGACGTTTCGACAACCTGTGCGGTAGTCATCTTCAGAGTCAAAGTGAGTTGTATCACGTCGACAGTTGATGGTATTATACTCTGGTTATTGATCTGATTGGTCAATTACGTCGCGATGTTATCAATAACCAGAGTATAATACCATCAACTTGATGGTATTATACTCTGGTTATTGATCTGGTTGGTCAATTACGTCGCGATGTTATTAATAACCAGAGTATAATACCATCAACTGAGGTGATACAACTCACTTTGTGACTCTGAAGATGACAACCGCACAGGTTGTCGAAACGTCAGTCACTGTCAACAACAACAGTCCCATTCAGGACTACGTTCACCCGGACGATCAAACTCAACCTTCTTCTGGTAATTACTGTTCTTCGACCTTCCCCCATGCCCATCACTTTTGAAATATTATCAAAATTCAGAGGATTTATCACTTGTTCTTTTTAGCTTGCCATTATTGTACTTTTGGCATGCCTTAAACGAAGAAAACATTTCAAACTTGAATACTGCAATGGATATCCTGGTCTCTCGACGTAAGTTTTCTATCAAGGTATTGAGAGATTATTACATAAACTATTATATCGCTTCCGGGACATGTGTATGTTGGCTACTCAACAAAGTTTTAAGGGTCCAACCCCTTACCCTCTTATATACCAGTTTTGACAAAAAATGTACCCCTCCATAAACTTCCATTGAAAAATGATGCTCCTTTAACATACCTAACTCAATACGAAAAAGAAGGCAGCAGGCCTTTCGTACTAATTATTTTAAGTATTCCTTTTTTAATCGTTATGTCAGTGAATGGAACTCTTTCCTGTCTAATGTTATCCGTGAATCTAGCCTTAATTTTTTCAAAGTCTCCCTTTTAATTTATTTGCGCTCAAATAAAGTTGTATTTTAATACAAACAGTCAATTCTATTTTATGTTATTGTTACTGTTACACATTATTATTATTGTTATTATTATTATTATTATTATTATTATTATTATTATTTCTTTCTTATTATCTTGAAAATGGCTTGGCCTTTTTATCTTTGTAATGTTATATTCTAAGGTTTTCTTTTAATATGTAGTGTATGTACAAGTTAGTTAGCTTTATAAAAGGAAATTAGTCCTAGAATGAGGGTGTAGTTTCCCCCTGCTGCTATATCTCGCCATCTTTCACCGTTTTTCTTTTTCTTATTGTATTGATGGTAAGCATTATTAAACTTTAACTTTAACTTAAGAGTAGGAAGTCTTCTTGTCATTTTCGTGTAATGTTTAATAATTTAAAATGATAGCCATAAGGCACATCTTTTCAAAACATTTAATCAAAGGCCCGTTATTAAAATACTTAAAATAAATGATAAATTTTCCCACCCTTTCACAGTGCTTTCATACACTTCATCTTGTGAATACCCTGGCTTTTCATATTCCGGAACCGTGAATAACGTACCTCTTTCGGGCGAAGCCTTTAGCTCCGGGCCGTTTAGGCAATTATTGGAAGTGCCCCACCCGGGTGTAGAAGGCCTAAATGTAATAAAGTCCTAAATGTAATAACATTTTGTGCTAAATGTAATTACATTTTGTCCAAAATGTAATAAAACCTTAAGTTGCAAATTACAGCAATTACTGAAATAAGCGCCGCATTTGGGGGGTTTATATGCACCGCGGCACTTATTCGGGTAAATACGGTGCTAAGAGGTATTACTATGGTTTTAAGCGCGGCCCTCAAATAAGCGCCGCATTTTGGAGAAAAAATTTAATAAGCTTCGGTACATTTCCTCATGCACTATGTAACTTGACATTTACAAAAAAATTGCTTGTAAAGGGACGAAATAAAAAAAAAAAATTGGAAGCCTTAAAAAGTTTTTCATACTTCATTTTTATTAAAGAAATTTACTGCAAAAACCGTGGAAGAAGATCCTGTTGCTTGTCAACTTTGGATCTCTAGAAAAGAGATCTAACCAGCTAAAATATTAAGAACAAAAAACGAGAAGTCTAAGGGCCTGTTTACTTGGAGGTGGCGGACACCAGGTAGGTGGTAACCCTCCTGTTCACATAATTTCTCATTTTAATTTGATTACGTTTACATGATAGGTGGGGTGACCCACCGCATGTTACCTCACCTTTCTGGGGTCCCCCACCTCAATGTAAACAGGCCCTAAAGACTACTGCATGAGAGCATGTAAACATGTGTGGAGTCAAGATGATTTGCTCTTCGCGCGCTAATCACACAAGCACGAATTTTAAAATGTTTTTGAGTTGAAAACTCGACAAATTTACTTTATTTACCCATTCTCTCGTCTTATGAAACTTGGAAAATCTTTACAAACATGCTGTGCCAATTTTTGTTCGCTTAAGCTGACATTTTAAGCGAGAAAAACTCTTTTTTGGAAAGCATCTTTATTGCAAAACAAGAACTGATTACACGTACATTAAGCTTCGTGTACAAGACTTCGCGACTGGTAAGAGTTTCTCTTTCAATCAGTAACCTAAACAAAGAGTTTTTCTTTTTTCTCGAGAAAGTTATTTTAGAAAAGCAATAGAAAACATTTTTCCAGTGTTTGCATAGCCTGATTTTAACACTCGAGGGGTTGGGAGAACTCTTGACAGGAAAAACACAGGAAAAAAGTTTTCCAGTTGCTTGAATATTGCTTTTTTAGAAAAATACTGTTACTTTGTCATTTACAAGCAATTTATTTGTGAACGTTAAGTTTCACAGTGCATAAGGAAATGTACCGAATTCACGCGATTAGGCCGCGGCGCTTATTAACTTTTTTCCAAAAATGAGGCGCTTATTTGAGAGCGGTGCTTAATACCATAGTAATACCGGTTAGTGCCGTATTTACACGAATAAGCGCGGCGGCGCTAATGCACTTATTTGAGGGCGGCGCTTATTCGAGTAATTACTGTAACTGGCAACTTAAGAGTTTATTACATTTGGGGCAAATTGTTATTACATTTAGGACAAAATGTTATTACAATTTAGGACTTTATTACATTTAGGGTCGTTTATTACATTTAGGGTCGTTTATTACATTTAGGCCTTCTACACCGGGCGTAAATTTTGTTTTCATTACACGGTCATCTTTTGAGTCATTAATACAATTAATCAATTATTCTTCATTCAAAAATTTCCAAAATTTCCAAAAAACGTCTTCATTCGTTAAAAAGGATTCTGTTTTCCTCTTCAGGCCAGTCAACTTCTTAGGTGGTAGACACAACCGATTCACCATTGCTGCTACCTTTGGAGCTACAGCTTCTACTTGCATGGAACTTTTCTTCAGTGGGAAGAGTGGGATATTTATCGAAGGAGGTCCTCCATGGGTGAAGGGTAAGTACGGGACCTCACAGCCGGACCCATAAATCTGCAATACCTACGTACGGCGGATCATTTTACGTTTCAGGGAAACTGCCCACCTACCCCTCCCCTAAACCACCATTAACACTTAGTTCTTACTTAGAGCAAAATGTTGGCTTAGGGGACGGGTAGGTGGGCAGTTTCACAGAAACGTAAAATGATCCCGTACGGCTAGTTAATTATGCATCAGCCAATTCAACCCCGATCCCTCGACCACCGGGGCATAGCGGGAGATAGCGCGGATTTAACGTGGCCAATGCCGGGATTTAACACACGTTTAACAACGTGACGGCCCCTAAGGCAATGGAATTAACAAAATACGAGAAGTCTTTAGAATCGCTTTCGTTGTATTTTTATTTTACCCGGAGCGCCTTAAATTTCCTTGCTTATGCTAGCGCTATTTCAGGAAAGAGAAATAAATACGTTCCGGTGAGAAGCGTAATTGTTATAGGTTATAAACGTTGTGTAGTCGCAGAAAACGATATTATCGTGATAGGCGAAAAAAAGTTGATCCTGTAGGCACACAGCCTTGCAAGAATTCACTGGCTTATACAAAATTTGGCGAAAACTCGTTGACGAGAAGTTCAACTGTTGATGTTTTGTCATTTTCTAGGCAAATGGATCGATCAACCTGTTCATATGAGCCTGATCGTCCAGGATGAAATCGTTAACGTATCTCCTGCTATTACTAATTTGAACAAATATATTGACAGCAAAATCCAATCATAACCTGCAGTGATGATGAACTCCCTTACGCCCCAAAGTGGGAATGCGCATGCGTAACCTGAAATGAAGCTGAATAGTTCTTATTGAAAAATGTCCAGGCCCAAAGATTTCGATGTATTATGTTCCCTATCAAAAGACTTTTTTTCCACGATTCTTGGTACGAGAATCGATAAGGAAAATGTGATAAAAAGAGGGAGTTCACCTTCGTTCCAGAAAACGCTTTTGAATACCTTTGTTTTCACTCATTTATATGTGCTGTTCGACTGATCGTTGTAGCCAATTACAGTTGAATAAGGGCTCGGTAAGTTCCAAGCGTGCCCGTCCAGCCTCTTGTCGTTTTTTTTTTTTTTTTTGGGGGGGGGGGGGAATTAAGCTGCAAATGCCCTACCGTGGGGCCAGGCGGCTCATACAAAAGCCCCACAGCGGGGCTTAAAAAAGGTTGCAAATGCCCTACCCCGGGACAGCACCAAAATTGCCTTTTCTAGTAAATAAGCTGCAAATGCCATATGAATAGGAAATCTGTAATAATCTGATCAAAACGCGTAAGCGGAACCCTTCGCAAATCGCTTCTAGCCGCCAGTTATAATTATTGCAAAAAAGGTCACATCGATCTGATTTATATAAACGACAGAACCAAGCTAGAATTTAATCAATACCTCTCTTATTATTTTTGAAGGTATTTAAGATAGTGGATGATAAACAAAGAACCAACTGTCTTTTAATATGAGTATTTTCCGGCATCATGATAGAACCGTTCCGTCAACATATTGATCTGATCGTCGCATTGATCAAACAGAACACGAAGTTTATAATAGCTTTCAAATACCTCGTTTTCCAGACCTTTCTGCCTCAACCATTCGCTCACAAAGAAAGTGTCTTTTCCATTAAACTCTTGGAACGTTGCATTAGTAGTTTTTCCTGTGCCAACTGACCATGATGACAGGAAGCAATTTCTTAGACGGATGCATAAAAAGAATACTGTAGGGTAGGGTGATAATGGAGCGAAAAACCACACGTATCTTTTAAAGTATTTTAAATTTTCTTTATAGAATTTCTATAGCTATACAAAAAGGCATATTTTTAGGTGAAATATTGAACAAGGAACGATGTTAACCGCTTCTAGAAGACCCTACCGCCGGGGGGCAAATGCCTGACAAATGCCCGGGGGGCGGACACTTGGAATTGACTGAGCTATGATTTGTCTGAACGGGCTCTTTTTCATATGGCCGGGGCTTGTTATGTGCAGTGATCTGAGCGACTCACAGTTCAAAGCCACCGAATCTCCTTGACCCTTAGCTTCATGAGAGTTTACTTTCTTCTTCTTTCAAAGGAAAATAATATAGATGAGGTGTGCTTTCGGATACGGAGCCATTCGCCTAGTGAACCGGGCCATAAAAGAGGCTTTAGGGTGATATGATCGATCAAAATACTGACCTTTTTATGTTGTGTACAGTTTTTCAGGCCATAATTACCATCCTTGTGTATGGCATTTTGTTCTACCCACTGTTTGCTTGTATGACAACCGACCACAGGCTAGTTGGGTCACTTGTGGGATTTCTTTACGTTTCTGTATGGTAAGTCATAAATTTAAATAAACACATCTTAAGATGACGTGGGGGATCTGGTACTGTCATGTTTCCATTCAAAGAATTCGTTCAGAACAGGGAGCTGGAATGTTAACAAAACGGAGAACGAGGAACGGGGAACGGGGAACAAACACGGAGAATGTGAAAATGAAAAATGCGAGGACAAAACTTAACTTTCATCCTAACCCTATCAGTAACTTTATTTCCAAGTCTTGTTTGGAGCAACTTTTAGTCCTTCGAGCAACTTTTCGGATTTCGTGCAACTTTTTTCTTTTTTGAATAACTTTCTTGCTTTTTTAAGGCAATTTGTAACTAAATACCGCCCATTCAAGTTCTAATTTAAAGCATCAATTGCTTTTATGCATGATTTTGCGTAAAATACCTTTTGTAAACAAAAAAACACTATCCCCCTAGTGGTCTGCCTGTGGTCGCAGCCGAAGGTGGTCAGCGGATATGCTGAAAAATTCAAAATGGCGGAGCCGAGTGGTTATTCATGCTCGAGCTCGAGTGAAGATGATGAATATTCAGATCCTTTAGAAGTAGAGGCAGCATTAGAGGAAACAGTGGAAACATCGGTCATGTTACGTTACAATGACAATAAGCGCACATGAAATCTTGAATTATGTCAGTAGAGGACTAGCTGGTGGTGCAAAACATTGACCAACAGGGACAGTGCTATGTACTACATCCGCAAAGATGTAAATATTGAAAGACTATGGTTTTACACCACATACACTCATGTATGTCAGAGAAACTTTATATATTTAATAAGCATATTAGCAAAGTTTGTTTTGTTCGAATACAATCACGTCAGGGTCGTAACGAAGTATATCTTATCCCGCCTGATCCCCCGTTTCGACCTTAAATTTTGATACCTGATCCCAAAATTGCTGCAAATCTTGATCCCCTACCCCAAGAAAATTTTTTGATCCCTGGATTCAATCTGGGTTGGATTAGCTGCATATCATAAAAAAACTAGACGCCTCTAGTCGCGCATCACCATCTAACTATCCTTGTAGACTACTCATACTAGTGTGCGTAGCCTGAGATCTAGAAAATGTACGATGCAATGATGAAGATTTGAAGCACCGAAGGCGGGCCAGCCTAGGAGAGTCAGTGGGCATGCTCCCCCAGAAGATTTTCTAATTTGGAGGCCTCGGAAATGCTATTTCCAGCATTTTTTACAGTGATTTGATACGCAGTAAAATGCAGTTAGTTAGTTATTGTTTACTTTACCCATCTCTAGAGTTGTCGGTAAGGTACATTCTTTAGGGAAAAAAAGGCGAGTGACACCGTCAGAATTGTGGAATAATAAAAAGGATAACTGAGTATTCACTAACACAAAGTCACCAATATAGCGCGAACGAGTTATCAGTCATCCCGATTTTCAAGGGAGAAAAATCCTTTTTCAGGAAATAATTTTTAGTTTCTTATCTTAGCTGTACGGGCGCATGTGAGTATATGGACGCTACGCTCCTCAGTAGCTCCTGCTCCAGCAAAATGAAATCTAGATGAGATCTCTTTGGGCAAAGATTGGCTTGACCAGCGATCAAAATAGCTACAGATTTCTACAAGACCAGGATGATAAGAGAATCCCCATCGTAACAGGCGTATGAACAACAACGGCTTACAATGCTAGTATAAAATTGAAAAGGTGTAGCGACAAGAAATTTAAAAGGAATCTGGCTTCACAATTTTGCATCAATTTATTTCCAGATTTATGGGGGATTTTGTTTCCTGGATTCTGGACGATTCGGCTAGATCGGATTGCATACAGTTTAGTACCGGGTCCAAATGTTACAGCAAAAATACAACTGAATTTTAAAATGTTTGCAGGTCCCTCCGATTAAGGCGCATTTCAGAATTTTGTGGTCTTGGTTGTTATATTCGAGAGAGGAACCGGATCCCTGATCTTCTTACAGTACTGCTGATCCCGATCCCACGGCTTGTGATCCAGATCCCGGCGCTGTGATCCCTGATCCCTTATACCTCGTTACGCCCTGATCACGTGGTTATCGTAATAGAAAGCCAATACAGAGAATCAGATTTTTATGATTTGGGTTGAGAGAGACTCAGTCTTACAATATTGATGAGTCAGTATGATATAACTATGTATATAATATCTATGCAAAGTTAAATCTATTCATTAAATCTTTATTTAAGTTGTTAATCAATCTCTTACACTAAAAAATTGAAAGCAACTTTTGAGCAACTTTTGGATTTTGGGGCAACTTTTGAGCAACTTTTAGAGATTTGGAGCAACTTTTTGAGAAAATTGGAGCAACTTGTGGACGGCCCTACCACCCGCGCCATATTTGACTTGACACATTTACTCAAATGGTGTGATGTTGAGCTTGACAGTTAATTTATTCTGGCCAATCATTGTTTTTATTCTCAGAATATGAGCGTAAAAAAAGTCCACTTCCACTCTTCGCGCTTTCCTCCATCCCGTTTTTTCTCCTTTCAGTTAATGCCTGCTACGGGTGGTTTCTTCATACTGTGGCGAATTTAGGGATGGAGCCAGGGGAAACCTCTTTATTTTTGGGCCAAATAACTTTTGCCTGAACTGACCTTGGCCCTAGATTAGTCAAAAGGTACCCCCCCCCCCCGCCCCCTGATTTTAAACATGTTTTAGGTATGCGCTCAATACAATCGGCTTGGTAATGTACTGAGATCCTTTAATTAAGGGGCGT